TTCAAATTTAAAACACCATTCTGTTATATTATTTCTTAAGTGTTTTAAATTGTATCTAAATTATTGTTACGCAACAGCAATTTTATAAAACAATTCTGTTGTTGTTTCATAAAAGATTAAAAAAAATCTCTGCGCAAACAAAATTGTTAAAGTTATTTCCAAGTTATCATGACATCTTGTTTACATTATGTATTTACTTAAATAATTAATTAATTTATTCTTTTTATCACCCAAAATTAGAGATTTATTTTCTGATATTCCAGAATTCAAAGCACTAGTTTAAAGTTGCCGCTATGTTTTCTTCTACGTCAGCGTTAGGGCGTATGATAATTATTTTTATATACCCTCTATCAAACAAACACTGGACAAAGCTTAGCTCTATTTGGTTGCAAATTTGCATTACATATATTAATCAATTATACTTCACCAGAAACAAATTGGCATTAATCGTTGGAATTTTGAAAAAATCAAAAAAAATACATGCAAAAAATCAAAATCATTTTACGAAAAAACTAGACGAAACAGTTAATTCAACTACAGTATAAATTAATTTATGTCAACTTCAGTATAAGATTATTATGTAAAAATTCAAAGTTACCCCGCTTTTCAAAATAAACCGAATAGCGGGGTAACTTTGAATACGTCTATTTTTTTTTTTTTTTAATTGTAATTATAGTATTACAACAGTTATGAAACTGTTTAAACTTTAAAGATCAAATAGTTAAAAATAGTTTATATTTTAATTATTTAAAGCTTTACTTTGTTTATTAGTCGTTATTGTTCCTTAATTAAACATTTCGGATATTTTTCTCAAAAAAAAAAAATTAGTCAGAATACTTTGTATACTGCCTTAGCTAGTGCAGCAGCTTGTTGTCTAAGTTGCATAATTTTTGTTTATAAAGTTATTAGTATGTAAAATCTAAAGAATGTAAAATCTAAAGAAGTTTGTTTGCCTACTATAATTATGTTCAGTGGCGGAAATACCATACCGCAAAACCCCGCAATGCGGAAGGGAGAGGGGGAGGGGAGAGCTGTAGGGAGCCTATACTTTTTAAAGGAGCTTCAGTGTTTGAAAATTATTATCAATTTAAAAATTTTATATATATATGTATTTAAAAATTTTAATCCTGTATTAAAGTAACATCTGACCAATAATCGAAATAAATAAAATATAAAACAACAACAAACTGATCAAAAACAGTAATCATAAAAATGTAAAAAAACACCTCTTTGTGGTAGGAGCCTAAATATATATATATATATATATATATATATATATATATATATATATATATATATATATATATATATATATATATATATATATATATATATATATTTTTTTTTGAGGGGGGGGGGGGGCAAAATTTGGAATTCAGCCACTGGTTATGTTCCTTTGCTATAGCATAACATACTTTATTGCATATATTTTTTCGCATACGGGTAAGTAGGTGGACTGATTTTTTTATATTGATCAAATACTAGAATGTTATATATCATTAGAAAGCCCTCGAATACAGTATTTCAAAGGTGAAAAAAATCTTGAAAACCGGACTATTCTATCAAAAGTTATGACGTTTTTAGTAGCAAACATTCGATATATGGATTTTTTAATAACACTGTTGTCAAAAATTTTTTTTTTTCACATAAATTGTTATAACTTTGCCAATTCTTATTCAAATATCTATATCTTTGTATAAAAAAATAGATGTAAAAAGGACTAATAATTTCCAACTAGATTTTAGGTAAAGGGCGCATTCAGGAATCCGGAGGGGGTGCTAATCCACCACCTAAACCTCACAAAAATATTTTTCATAAAAGATATTTTGCAAAATATTTATATACAAAAAGTTATTATTATTTTATTCCACATCACTAGCAAATATTTTTTTTAATTTTTTTTTATTTATTTGTTATTTTAGGTGCTCCAAGATGTCCTAACGGTCTTGTCACAGAGCACCGCGGAAGTGCATTTAACTAAAAAGATCACCCCTTCTTCCTTATCGTGACGCAAAATATGCCCAAAGCTCGTTTCGAACCTGGATTTTATTATAATGATATTACAGGTCTATCTCAAAGCAGATTTTTGGGTTTGGGGTAAGGTTTAACACACCCTATCATCTATCTAAATTTCATTCTTTTAAATATTTTATTCTTTACTAAAAAGATTAATTCTAGTGTAAAAAATAAAAAATATATTTCAAAACTAAGAAAAATAGTGGTGTATAAATTGTCTTCATGGAAGGAGGCGTAAGCCGCTCCCCTTCCGCCCCATACCTAAAAAAAAGTTTCATGAGAATTTAACAAAAAATGTTTACAAATGCTTTTTTAAACAACGAAAAAATAGTATAAAAAACTATTTTACCACATTACAAGATGTACCAGAGTATCCATTTTGTCATGTAAAAGGAAGGACTACCCACTCCAATTTACAATTCACAAACCTTGCGGTACTTGTTTGCAAGCCTCAAAACTTGCAAAACTTTTCAAGCATTTTTTACATTAATTTATATTCAATCTAAAAAAATATTAATTTCCCTAATACAACATCAGCAGCTAGCTGGATTTTTTTCCTCTTATGTTCGACAGCTCCAATATCAGTTTTATCTTGTTTCCAGTAAGAAATAGTGTAAATTCTAAAATCCTAAAATCTTTTGTAATTGTTGCGCTATGGCTTTATAATGTATTTTCTTTTGTTTTTAAACGAGCATCTTGCGTTATTTATTATTAAAAACACGCTGCAATTAAAACACCTTTCGCCTGAATTTTAAGCTGGAAAAAGCAGATATGGTATCTTTTAGGTCAATGGAATCCAATACTCGGTTTTCTATTTGAACAATAGAAAGACCTGAAAGACGCTTCCAAAAAAAAGCTCCAAAATCAATGCATTCGTTCAATAAGTGAAAGTTTAGATTAATAGGATATCCGTCAACAAGTTTTTGTGCACTGCAAGTAATCTCGGAGATATCCATGCTGCGGAGATTTACAAAAAAACCGAGCAGAGAGTTCAATCCAGAATAGGCTTTTATTCTTTTATCTAGATTACTCATTAGTTTGCCCGGGATCTCTTTAACGTTTGCAATCATTTAATATAGCCCAGAAAACACTGTAGTTTCCACACTGTTAATTTCATCATCGTAAGGTCTCTTGCGTGCTCTTTGAAGCCTTTGAACATAGACATATTCATCTGCATTGACCAAAAACACGGCTTTCTTTTCATATTGCTCAAAATTGGAGCGAACTTGGTGCACATAATGCTTCGAGAGTTATTCAGTTCTTCAACCATACCTACATCAAGAATTAGAAACTCCAGTTTCTTGTTAACTTTATTGAACATTTCTATGGTTCTGTTCCAAATTGTTGTTCTCAAGTTGTTCAAAGTTGTTCCATTTTGGTCAAAAGCCTGAAGGTCTCTGCACTTGGTTTTACTTTAAGATCGTAGTTAAGGTCAAGAAGAGTCTATATATAAAATATTTGTTAAAAAGTATGGACAATCACAAATAAAATATTTTTTTATTAAATTATCTAAATAATTTTTAATGACCTTGCAAATAGAATAAACCTTTTCAATAGCTAAACAAGCATCAGTACAAGCTGACAAACAAGTTTGTGGGAGAGTCTAGGGAACCTTAACATATGTTCGAACAAGGAACTTTGGGAATGAATGCTAAGAACCGCATAGCTGGTTTTCTGTTTTGTATACATCGGAAGTAGAATCAACGATGATTGAGAAATATTTCGCAAATTTGATTTCGCTAACTAAGAAATTATGTTTGAAGTAAATAAAAAAGTTATGCTGTAACATGTTATTTAACGATGATCATTTACCTATAAACTCCATAACCTCGGCGGCTATTAAGTGTATAGGTTCTTCACAAATGTCTTTAGGTAAGTACGAGGTACACCTTTTCCATTATTTCACGAGTTATCAAGTATTGGGCGAGGAAAGAATCAATTTTACTAACATCTCAATACATATAATAGAGTGTCCGTTGCGTATCGACCCTAGTTTTTTCTTCTGATCTGCGGAATGATAATCCTCTGAGAATGAACAGTAAATAAAATATCCATTGATTTTAAATTTTTTTGTTCAATATTATATTCAAACTCGAAAGTCCTTTCAAGTCGTTAAAAAAAATAGAACGTCCAGTTTTCGATACGTCGTATGCGCTGTTATTGCAAAGATTTAAATAATAAGATAAAAATCTCTGGAACATAAGAGAAAATCAAGGATAGTAATAACTTTTCTTTCAAGTTATATATCTCTCAAAAATTTACTTAGATGTTCTGGTCCCTTGAAATCCGTGGCCTCCCGGCACATGTCCAGTGTGTCCATTGGTTAAACCGGCACTGCATTTCACTGATAGTTAATACACACAGCTCTCGCTCTAACTTCCTTTTTTGTTTTTCATCCATTTTTTGGCGTTACATGAAAAAGTAATAGCTTTTAAACTTAGCAATTGTGGCAGATATAGATAAAAAAAAGGTGTAACCAAGAAAAAAGTATTAGAAATTGGCATTAGATCTATACACAGTTAACAAAGAAATAGCTTTTAAACTTACCAACTGTGGCAGACTTTGATGAAACTAAAAGTAAAAAAAAAACTGTTATCAATAAAAATAAAATTGAAATTGATATTAAATCTATAGTATAGTATAGTCAACGAAAGAAATGACATTGACATCTTCAGCAGGTGTCAATGAAGCTTAATGTAAAAAAGGTGTAATTAACAAAAAAAAAAACAATTAAATATTTAATAAAAAGATTAAGATTTTGCCATCGGTAGATAGATTAAGAAGTAGTAATTTTTAAACTTACCAACTGTGGAGGATGTAGCATGGATGATGAGGATGCAACTAATATCACAAAAAGATGCAATAAACAAACAACCAAAAAAAGTTGAAAATGGGATTAAATCAGTACACTGCTGAAAAAGAATCGACTTTTAAACTTTATCTTTAAATTCCTACTTATATAAACGTGACCAAAATTGCAATATGCAAAATTACCAGTGGAAGGCTGAGTTGGTTGGACTAAAATTAACAAGAAAACTGTATATCAAAATAAACAAAACACCTTGAATTTTACAACAGTAAGTGAATAAGTAACAACAATCAAACAAGTTCTGCATAATGTGCAACACCTTTATTGATTAAGTTTATAATGAAAACATAATTAAAAAAGGTTGTATAATGATTTAAATAATAACAAAAAATAAAGTATTCTACAACAAGTAAATGTTAAAAGACAATAAAAATGATATCTTTTGTATTAAAATATTTTTAAGGCATCAACATGTTTATTTTATTATGAATTACACCAAAAACTATATTGTTCATATCATCCCTATATATATATATTTTTTTAATTTTATTATTTATTTAATTTGCCGTTGATAAATATTACAAAAAAGAAATTACAATAAAAGAAAATCCTGGCCGGAGCAAGAAGAAGACAGGTTGTCTTATCACCGAGCCCCGTCACACAAAAATTTACATGCAAAATAAATGATAAAAGACAAAAAGACAGTATAAATACAAAAACAAAAACAAATCAAAAACTTCAGCAATAAAATAATTTGTTGCTAACAATCTTCCAGCAAAATAATTTTAAAAATAAAAAAGTAAAAACGACAAAAAGTCATGAAAGTTATAAAAACACACAAAAAAATGTGTTGCTTAATTGAAAAAAAAAAAAAAAAAAAAAAAAAAAAAAGCAATATATGTAAACATAAGTATTTGGGCTGATTATTTAATATCATCAAAAATATGAACGAAAAAGACAATTTTATTTTCGTTATCTTTTATACTAATAGTTTGAAACCATTTTAATAAAAGCTAAAGAAAGTGTTAAAGATTTAATTTATTTTACAATTTAATTACTATCTACATGTCACTACCATCTATCTATATGTCACTATCATCTATCATATAAATATAAATCACTATCTTATCTATACATCTATACATCACTATCATTTTTACACACCTATAAATCACAATCATATCATATCTATGCACTAAATTTCACAATCATAACACTATACATCACTATCATACATAAATTACGAAATCTCAAAAACTGATGAAATAATAAGCCTGCATCTAAACAAGAAGAAAACATTAGAAATGTTTGTGTAATGATTTAAACAATAATCAAAAGAATAAGTATTATACAATAGATAGATCATAAAAGATTAACATACATATATAACAAATGTTCTCAATGTAGATAAAGCTAAAGGTAAAAAAAAATGTAAAGAACAAAAAATACATAGTTTTCACCAAAAAATCTATACACAGTTGTTTAAAAAAAAAGTTTTCAAACTTACCAACCATAGCAGATGGTGACAAAGCTAAAAGTAAAAAAGTTAACCAAAATAACTTAGATTTTGGCATTAACTATATACAGAGCGAAATTTTTTTTTTTTTTTAACTTACTAACTTTGGCACTGCCACGCGCAGATGTTGATAAAACTAAAAAAAAAAAAAAAAAAAAAAGGTGTAATCAAATAAAATAAAAAAGAATAAGAGTAGAAACACCTAATGATAAAATACTTATTTACAGGGTTATTCATTCTTATGTGTACCTTTATTCATTCTTATATGCGCATTTATTCATTTTTATATGCTCCCTTATTCATTCTTATATGCGCATTTATTCATTCTTATATGCGTTTTACAAAAGCAATTGTAAAAAACCAATTTGAACAAAAAAAAATCATTTAAGAAATTTGTTTTGAAAAAACAGTTTATTTTTTCAAAACAAATATTTCTTATTTCCAGGTAAACGAGGTGTTAAAAATACTTAAAGCGAAGACTTTTTACATTCGATGATGGTTTATTTAATTTAGTATTAGTTCTTTGTTTTCGATGATAGTTTTTAATTTAGTATTAGTTCTTTGTAATTTTATTATTAAATTTTATGATTAAGTTATTATTTATCTAATTATTCATTTATCTAGATTTAAATTTAATTATTTATAATTATTATTAACATCAAGTTATACAGCCCTATGGGTGGAATAGAAAATAGCAGTACCAATCGTAAAACAAGGAAAAATGTTACAAAAGAGCACATTGAAATGCTTAAGGATTTAGTTGAAAGAAATCAATCTACAACAAGCATTTCCACTTCTCTTAATTTATCGAAGCGCACAGTTTAAAATCTTGTCGTTAAGTTAAACAGAGGAGAATTCGACGACATGACTGCATTTAAGTCGTTTTCTGATAAAAAACGAGGTGAAAGACCTATAAACGCTCAAAAAAAAATATTTTCGAATTATGCGTACAAGAAAACAATCTTTGCACGCCGGAAGCAATAAAAGAAAATCTTTCTGCAGCAGGCTTCAACATGTCTCACCCTACTATTTCAAGAAAACTCAAACGCTCGGATTTATCAAGAAAACGTGTTGTACATGTGACAGAAGAACGAAATTCAACACAAATTATTAATGCACGCTATGCATTTGCAAGCAAAATTAACGTAAATTCAGATGAAAAACTTATTTTTTTGGATGAAACTGGATTTAATGTGCACACTAACAGCACATATGGTTATTTGCTAAGAGGTGCGCCAGCAATTTATAGTCACCTGCAAATCGTGGCAAGAATGTTAGTTTAATTTATGCTGTTTCAATAATGGGAGTGCTTGCTTATGAAACAAAAACTGGAGGCTGGAATGCAGATTTATTTTGTACTTTCATAACTACAATGATGGCACCAGCGATTAGGAATGCAAATGTGGAAGCGCCGGTGCTTGTTATGGACAATTGTAAATTACACTGGAGTCTTTCTGTTAGGCAAACACTAGCCTTTCATGGAATAGCTATTAAGTATCTGCCAGTTTACACGCCACAGCTTAATCCAATAGAGGAATTTTTTTCTTCTTTAAAACATACTTGCAAACAGGGAGAAAGGCCTCGAAATACGGATGAGGTAATCAGGAAACTTAAAAATATTATGGATACTACAGAGTTTAATATATATCCATTTTACAACCATATGCGTAGTTATATATATAGTAGTTGTATATGCGTAGTTATATATATAGTAGTATAGCGTAGTTATAAATTATAAGCGCTGGCTCGGCAACCATTTCTTAAATAAATAACAATGAAAACAACCTAATTTATATTTTAAATATATCTATATAAAAATTTAAAAGCGTATTTATTGTTTATAATAAATTATATTAGAGATTTTATAGGTGGTTGACGCATATATAAACGCGCATATAAGAATGAATAAATACGCATATAAGAATGAATAAAATCGCATATAAAAATGAATAAATGCGCATATAAGAATGAATAAAGGCGCATATAAAAATGAATAGACGCGCATATAAGAATGAATAACCCTGTAACTTACCAACCGCATCAAATGTAATATAAAAAAATAAAAGTAATATAAAATATTTTTTGGCAACAAATCCAACAAAACAAATCCAATAAAATAATTTTTTAATGAACAAAGAAAAGTAATGGTGTAAATAGCAAATAAAATAAAGGCGTAAATACCGAAAATTAGGTGTTACTTAAAAAAAAAGTCTTGAACAGGTTAATCTAGTCAATGATTTTTAAAAGTTTAACAAAAAAATACACTTGTAAAAGTAATAAACAATATAATTATTATGAAAAAATATATGAACTTACTTTCTGTTTGATTACCCAGTTCATTTATATCATTCATTTTTAAATTACTAACAATCTAAGTGAAACATATGCAATAAATATTTTGAAACAAAAAAAAATACCTCTCGCCCCCCCCCCCAGCCCAACATCGGCTATTTTTGAAAACAGAAATTAAGTACCAAAAGTGTTTAACTGATTTAACTAATTGCTAAATAATAATTTTTTATGAAATTTGGCAGGTGCAAAGGAAATGGATGTAGAAACTTATTTAAAAAATCAAAAAAGCGGAATAAAGATTAATTCGACAATAATTTAACAAGTAAACATCAACATAATTTCATGAGCAAAATACTTAAACATAAATAAAAGTAACACAATAAACAAGCTTAACTCTTCTTCTTTCCAAAAATATCCTATGTGTATATGTGTATATGTTTCTGAAAAAAAAAACACAACAAAAAAACTTTTGTCTAACCCTACTCAAAAAAAAATGAGACGGAAAATCCGCTAAAAAAAACCGGAAAAAAAGAAATTAGGTAGCAAAAGTGCTTGACTAATTTAACTATCTGCTACATAATTTTTTTTGATAAAATATGGTAAGTGCAAAGAAAACGAATGTAAAATTGTTTAAAAAAAATCAAAAAAGTGGAATAAAGAGTTCTTCGACCAGAATATGACAAGTAAACACCAACCTATTTTTCATGAGTCAAATGTTCTAAAAAATGGTAATTCAACCGTACGTAAAAATAACATAAAAAACACTATACTATTTGTATATATGTTTTTATAAAGAAACTCATAAAAAATACGTTTGCCTTAAGCTACCTAAAAAAAACGTCAAATAAACGAGTCACAGAGTTTTAGCATAAAACTCGGTTCAGTACAGTAAATGTAAATCGCTATTTCCGCGTACCTATTACAGGTTTTGAATAAGATTCAAAGTAACCCCACTACATAAATAGTCAAAAACACGAAACAACTTGAAAATTTCCTTTGTCATACATGTATTATATATAATATTATTATAAATAAAAATTAAAATACTTTAAATAATTTTTTTAACCGATTTTGATGTAAATTATGACATTGTAGTATTATTACTGTATTTCAAGAAAAACTTTTACAACTTGACATATTCTTCCAAATTTACAATGCAATCTTTCAGGCCTTAATTATTACTAACTCTCTAATTATTTCCTCGTACTTTAGACTAGTGCTTATTTCATGCTCAATGCTCAGTAATGCTAGTCCATTGAGTCGCTCTTGTAACATAGCGGTCCTAAAATATATCTCAATCAGTTTCAGCTTGGAGAAAGATCTCTCCCCAGTTTCCATATTAAAAAGGAATCCAAATGTTCCACACA